GGGTGTGCCGAAATTGGCAGCGGGGATGCACGCGAACACCGCCACTGGGTGCCTTCGGTGGAACTCCAGATGGGGCCCGCGAGACGTGTGAAGGATGTGCCGAATCGGCTGCGAGGACGCATGCGCACGCTGCCACTGGGGCCTTCGGTGGAGCTGCCACGAAACGTGTGAGGGGTGGGCCGAGATCGGGTACGGGGACGCCTGCGATCACCGCAATTGAGGCCTTCGGGTGAGCTTCCTATAGGACCACGAAACGTGTGAGGGGTGTCGCGGAACTGGTGCGGGGATGCATGCGAACACCGCCACTGAGGTCGTCGGTGGAGCTCCTATAGGGCCACGACACGTGTGAGCGGTGTCCCGAATCGGGTGCGGGGACGCAACCGAGCACCGCCACTGGGACCTTCGGTGGAGTCAAGACGGACAGTTCTTCGTTGCTCAGCTCCTCCTCTTCCGTTATTCGGGTGGATCCGAGGAAGCCCAAAACACGTCGAATAATCCCCAGCACTCCCCGACACATCGCTGGGATCATAAAAAGTTATTGCCCCAGGTCCCTCTACCACCGTCGAAGGATCTCCAGAATCGCTCCTACATTCCTCATTGACAAGTTTCGATACGAGGTACTTGGGCGCGGCTAGAACCAAAGCGCGCGCGAAGCGCGCGTGTGGCTGTAGTATATATATATATATATATATACACGCGCACATACGCACATACTAACAACTACATGTGTGTATATATATATATATATATATATATACATTTACATATGTGTATATATGTATATATGTAAACAGGAGGAGGACGAGGAGGAGGAGGAGGAGGAGCAGGAATGTCAGCGGAGGAGGAATCTGAGCAGGAGGAAGAGGAGGAACGGCAAGAAAGCGAGAAAAAGAGTGAGCGCAGGGATAGGGCCACATGGGGTGTTGGGGGGGGGCTGACCATATACACACACGCATATCTCTCTCTCTATATATATATATATCCGTAAGGGCTTCGCCCCCTGCCGCCGGCCCCCTCTCTCGGAGAATGGGCCATGGAAAAGCTAAGTCATGAGGCCTTGGCGCTGTCGTGAAGCAGTATCGAAACTTCATGCGAAGCCGATTCGCAATCAGCAAAACCAACTGATCACAAGAGGGGTTACCACACCTGGCGATTGGTAAGACGTGTATGGTTTACGGGCTTGGTTACCACACCTTGCGATTAAAGGGCCGAGGGAGTTCTCGCAGTTTGGGTTACCACGCCTTGCGATGGATGTGCGTGAAGGGTGGCACCGAATTTCAGAAATGTGGCAAATCCCTGTGTTTTTGGACCCTGACCCCGCGGATCTGCGTGAGGGGTGGCACCGAATTTCAGAAATGTGGCAAATCCCATGTGTTTTTGGACCCTGACCCCGCGGATCTGCGTGAGGGGTGGCACCGAATTTCAGAAATGTGGCAAATCCCCTGTGTTTTTGGACCCTGACCCCGCGGATCTGCGTGAGGGGTGGCACCGAATTTCAGAAATGTGGCAAATCCCATGTGTTTTTGGACCCTGACCCCGCGGATCTGCGTGAGGGGTGGCACCGAATTTCAGAAATGTGGCAAATCCCCTGTGTTTTTGGACCCTGACCCCGCGGATCTGCGTGAGGGGTGGCACCGAATTTCAGAAATGTGGCAAATCCCTTGTGTTTTTGGACCCTGACCCCGCGGATCTGCGTGAGGGGTGTCGATTTCGAGCCCCCCCAGCAATTCAGACAACGCGCCCAGGAGACGCTAAAAATCTTGTTTGGGCCTCCCCTCCCCTCGCGCGGTCAATCAACTAGTTACAGCAACCAGCAAGAAGCAGAACTGTAACACTGGAAACTACAACCTACGACTGGTACAGGAAACTGGGCCTACAGCCTGGTGGCCCCACAAGGGGGCCGGCTGATATGTATACACATTCAAATAGATCCGAAAGATGCCTTGTGGGTTTGCGTGGGCCCCCGGGCCCCGGAGCCCTCCGAGAACCCCGAAACAGCTCCGGAGGGCCCCCGGAAGGGCCCGGAACGGCACCGGAGCTCCCCAGAAGAGCCCCGAGACGGCCCATGGAGGCCCCGAGACGACCCAAGACAACTTTCAGGCGGTCCAAGATGTTCTCCAGACGGGCCCATGAGCCCCAAAGACGCCCCCAGACGGCTCCAGGCGGGTCCAAGGGGTCCCCCGAAGGGCTCCATCAAGCTAAAGTCGTCACAGCCCCTTCGGAAAATTGACATTTTCAGCAGATTCGGCTTATTGGTCTTCGAAGCGTCCAGAACGGCACCTGAGGCCTCCAAGATCGCCCAAGACGGCCCCCAAGAGGGCCCAAAGATGGCTCCAGACGGGCCCAGGACGGCCCAAGAGGCGCTCAAGACGACCCAAGAGGACCCCACGAGAGGCCCAAGAGGGGCCCAGGACATCCCCGAGATGGCCTATGGAGGCCCCGAGACGACCTCAGGCGGCCCAAGATGCTCTCCAGACGGCCCCATGAGCCCCAAAGACGCCCCTGGATGGTTCTAGGCGGGTCCAGGGGGTCCCCCGAAATGGTTCCATCAAGCTAAAGTCGTCACAGTCCCTTCGGAACATTGACATTTTCAGCAGATTCGGCTTATTGCTTTTCGAAGCGTCCAAAACGGCCCCAAAGGCTTTTAAGATCGCCCACGACGGCCTCCAAGAGGGCCCAAAGATGGTTCCAGACGGGCCCAGGACGGCCCACGAGGCGCCCAAGATGACCCAAGAGGACCCCACGAGAGGCCCAAGAGGGGCTTCAGGACAGCCCACGATGGCCCCAAGACGGCCCGCTGGGCGCCCAAGATGGCCCAAGACGGCCCCAAGACGGCCCGCGAGGCGCCCTGCCGGCCCAAGAGGGCTCCGAGAAGCCCCCGAGGAGCCCGAAACAGCCCCCATAGAGCTCCTAAACGGCTCCCAAGAAGCTTCAAAATTGCTTTCAACAGAGGGGGGCGGCCCCTCGCAGGCGCAACAACAAAAAGTTTTGACGCTCCGGTGGCCCTGGGGCTGCCCCGCTGCGCTCCCTACTTTGGCGCGACGCGGCCCGAGGCGGCGCCGCGTTTGCCCGAACCCGCTCCCGCGTCCGCCGCGATCCCGGCGCGAATCTTCCAACGTTGCTCAGGCCTGGACTCCTGAATTTCTGCCCCTTGCGAAGCTCGAAGAAACCCCCGTTTCGATGCATTGGGCGCCTTCGGTGGGGGAACGGCACTAGAACAAGCTTCAAGGGATCTACGGCAGTAGCTGGCAGCGTCGCACCACCCAGCGCGCGCCACCATGTTTCGATCCGCCCAACTTCGTGGATTTAATCCACGGGTCCACACTAGTGAGAAAACAAAAAAACAGTCAGACACAGTGAGTTTCGGTGCGTTTTGGGCCTCCTTGCGGGCCATCGTCGCCACATCTGGATCCACTTTGCAATTCTGGTCGTTACGCGCTCCAAGATGGGCCCTGGGTTTTGACTGTATAGGGAGGTGGGAGGAGGACCGAGATCACCGACGCTGTGAATTCCTCAGTGCGGTGTTCTCCCCTAGTTAGTTTCGACCTCCAGGGGCTCATTTCGGGACCCAGGTCCGCAACACAAACTTTACATCTTACCGTACGAAAGAAAACCCGAGCAGCAACTCTGCACGACAACGCATTCTGTCCGCCGCAGCGGCGAGGATCCGCGCCGCGTTCGAGGGCAGCCGAGGCACCGTGCGGGGCCCCGTGTTGACAACGGGCGAGGGAGGGAGACTTGGAGAGAGAACGAGGGCGAGGAAGGAGGTGTGGAGCACGCTCAGAGCATGAAGAAGCTCTTGCGCACGAGAGCGCACATGGTTCAGGAGGAAAAAAAACACACAGACACAATTAATCGGCGATTCCCAGAAAATATGGGAAAATATGGGAAGTGGGGGGGAAGACAGAAACCCAGAAAATATAGGAAAATATGGGGGATATTTTTATTTGTGTGTATTAATTTGTGTGTTCCAGTTTCCCTTCAATGGTGAGCCACCACCCCCGGTGGCGTGCTCGCGGGGGGGCGCCCGCGCCGCGCCCGGCCGAGCGCGGCACGGCACGGCGCGGTGCGGCGCGCGGGCACGGCGCGGCACGGCACGGCACGCGGACCCGGCACGGTGCGGCACGGCACGCGGACCCGGCACGGTGCGGCACGTTCTCGCGCGCTGAGGCCGTCGGGGGCAGCGGCAACGGGGGTGAGGGGCTTGCTTTCTGCCACCACTGCCATAAGTTGGAGGGGGGGAGGAGGTGGGGGAGGAGGGGGAGGGGGAGGTGGAGGAGGAGGGGGAGGTGGAGGAGGAGGAGGAGGAGGAGGAGGAGGAGGAGGAGGAGGAGGAGGAGGAGGAGGAGGAGGAGGAGGAGGAGGAGGAGGAGGAGGACCCCCTCCCCCTCCAACTTATGGTGGTGGTGGTGGTGGAAAACATGCCCATCAGGGGGGAGATAGGCGCAGGGGTGAGTGCAGCGGCCCCGAGCCGCCCATGAATCGCCGACGGGGGTCCGATGATAGCCCCCGGCCCCGCCCAGGAGCGTGCGGACTCGCTGCCCGGGGCTTGCCGGCGATCAATCGGCGAGGCATCGCCGAGCCCATGCCGTTGCCCCCCCCCCCCCCCGTGAGCCACTCGCCCACCCTCGTGGCTCCTCGAGCCCGGGCGCGGCACGCCACGGCACGGCTCGGTCAGTCTCGCGGGTCTGGCAGGGCCGGGTGCCGCACGGCACCGCGCGGCACAGTCTTCTGCGCGCCCACAGGGCCCCCGGGCGCGGCTCCGATGTGGGGGCCTCCGGGGCCCGTCGCTGCGGCGGGCCGCCCCTCTGCGCGCCCCGGGGGCCACGATCGGCACGAGGGGCGCGGCGCGGGGTGAGGACGAGGGGCACGAGGGGGGCGAGGGGCGGGGCGAGAAGCGAGGGCGATGGGCCGATGAGGACGCGAGGCGAGGCGAAGGGCGAGGACGAGGACAGGGGGGCAGAGAGGGCGACGGGGCGCGGTGGGCGCTGGCGCCCCAGGCGCGTCGCTGTCCGCCAGCGCCCCGACCTTCGAGATGCCGCTGGCGTCGAGGCTCCCTCCGAGTCACAAGGCTGCCCCGTGGGAGCTGTCGACGTCGGTTTCTTCGTCGTCGTCGTCGTCGACGACGTCGTCGTCTTCGTCACATATCTGGCTAGGCTAGGTGCGATCGCGCCATGTCTGACATCCTGCCCCTCCCACACGTCCCTTCCGTTTCGCTGACTCCATCTCTGTCGGCCGACAGGTGTCAAGGGGGGATTGGTGCCTCCAGAATGACCCCATCGTGCTATGCACAATCAGACAGGGGACCAGTGTAGATTCTAAGAGGAAATGGTGGATGAGCAGGAGGGTGAGCAGGAATAATGCGATGAGGATGAGGATTGCGAGGAAGGAGGAGGAGGAGGAGGAGGAGGAGGAGAACAGCAACATCATAAGCATAAGGAGAACAGCAACATCACAAGCATAAGCATAATCATCAGCATAAGCATAAGCAGAAGCATGAGCAGGAGCAGGAGGAGCGGGATGAGCAGGAGAACCAGTGGAAGGCGGAGGAGGTGGAAGGAGGCTGGCGATAACGACGTGGACGCAACTAGAGTTAAAATGTGATTGGCGATTTGGCGAGAGCGCTATTCTGAACGACGGGAGCAAAGCGCCGATCCTGAACTGAGCCCACCGTTGTAGCTGGATCACCACTTGGAATCATCAGAACTGCTCCGATCAACAAACGAAATGATACTATGCGTAAACGACAGTCTGCGGGAGAAAACGGGGCCCCGCTCGGACAGAATCTGGGGGAGAGGAAGATTGCATTCACATTGAGTAGGTGTTGCGTAAGTGTACAGGCGGGGGAGGACAAGGAGGGGGAGGATAATGATGGCGATGTGGGACGGGGAGGGTTATCTGGATTGGCCAGGGCTGGGCGACGGGGGGCGTGGATAAGGAAAAGGAGGGAGGGATGTTGATGAATATGAGGATGAGGATGATGACCAGTGCCAGCCCAAGACCTATCAAGTTTATTGCGACGCACCCTTCCACCAAGCTCCCTCTTCACAAGGACTCATTTTTTATTGCGTCCCGTGGGAAAACAATGGCTTGAGCACCCTGAACTGTGCCATAGCACCTTGCCTGAGGTTTCATCGCCGCGAATCATTGTCACTGATGCGTCTTGACGATCCTGAATCGTGCCAGAACACCGTTCCTGGAACTCCAGCATTACCAATCCGTGTAGCTGCGGCGCCCCGACCGTCTGCCATCGTGCCAAAACACCGCTTCTGGGTCGCTCACACGAGAATCCTTGAAACGGCTGTGCACTCTTAAGACGAATATGCGCGGTGCTAAAGCGAGAACCACATGTTGGAAACGATCCGCCCTCCATCCGTGAAACTGTTGCGATGATTTCAAAACGGTGGGCGCGGCGCTAAGGCGAGAGCCACATTTTGAAAACGACCCGCCTTCCATCCGTGAAGCTCCTCGCAAGTGTTTTACGACGGACGTGCGCGGCGTTTATGGCGAAATCCACATTTTGGACAAGTCCCGTCCTCAATCCGTGAAGCTCCTCGGATTTGTTTGAGACGGACGTGCGCGGCGCGAAGGCGAGAACCACATTTTGAAAACGACCTGTCCTCAATCCGTAGAGCTCTAGCATTTGTTGAAGACTGATGTGCGCTGTGCTAAGACGAGAGCCGCATTTTGAAGACTATCCGCCCCTCATGCGTGAACATCTTGCAACTTTTAAGCTTCAGAGTCAAAAGTGCATACATGGTGAGGAAGCTTCAGGCGAAATACCCGGCCCGCCCTTCCAACCTTGCCTCGGGGTATGACAGGGACCAGTTATTCGTAAGGAAAAGGATGTCACGACCGCCATCGTTGCTTTGGGCTTCCAGTGGAAGACCTCTTCACTAGAATGCATGTTGTTCGGCCCCATCGCGAGGGAGGGTGTAGAACATTTGACGGTTACGACAGACAAGACCTACAATTTCAGCCTCGTTCGGAGCAGGCTAGCTTTGGGTGTCATACTGAGTTCCCAGGGCGATACTACTACCAGCGTCGATCATAGGTTAGGCGCTGCCGAGAAAAACTTTCGGAGTACCTGCCGAGTTCTGAAGGGGCCTGGGAGTATCGGTTCAAAGCTGAAGGCGGGGGCGAGAGGACCCGCAGCAAGTGCAGCGCATGGATCAGCATCGTGGCATCTTTCACAATACGCCCTCTTGAAAGTGAAGAGGTGGGAATTCAATACGCTACGGCGCATGCTCAGATTGCGGCGCAAACCAAAAGAATGCCAAGGACAGTTTGTGATCCGCAGCGCTAGTTTTCTGGAGCGTCAATTTCAGTCATTACGGATCTGGCCACTGCACAGTCGTATTTGGATACACGTATTTTACAGAGTAACGGGTGTGAAATGTTCGAGCCGATTATTTGGTCAATTGTACCATGGAAAGCCGGAGGTCTTGGTTTTAGTCTTGTCAAATTTCCACCGAAGACCTTGCGAATGCAAAATTCCTGGTGCACAGATGGCGGCACGCGCTCCTGGACTTGCTCTGCAGCTGCTTGGTGAATCGATGCGGTGGTTTGCAAGGGGTCCTATGCAGTGACGACCCCGATAATCATAGGAGGCACCTTTATCAGCGATAGATTCTTTCACGGCTGAATCGATTGCTCTAGATGAAGCAGTTGAGGCTGTGAGGAAACTCGCGGCTGACATCGGCAGCCGGCCGTCCAACGTGTGACCTAGGCCTCGACGAAAGAAAAGGAATGAGGGTGAGGATGATGATGATGTTGCTGCTGATGACGAGAGTGATGCTGATGATGACGATGGCGATGATGATGCTGATGATGGTGATGGTGGACATGGTGATGATACTGATGATGAAGCTGATTGTGGTTATGCTGCTGGTGCTGATGATACTGATGATGCTATCAATGAGGATGATGATGTTGTTGATGGTGATGCTGATGATGCTGTTCATGAGATGGTGATGTTGACGATGATGATGATGATGATGATGATGATTATGATGATGATGAGGTTGAGGATGATGATGATGATGATGATGATGATGCTGATGATGATGATGATGATGATGATGCTGATGATGATGATGATGATGATGATGATGTTGTTGATGATGATGGTGGTTTCTGATGATGGTGATATTGCTGCTGATGATGATGTTGATGCTGATGCTAAGGAAGGAAGGAGGGATGGGGGGAGGGAGGGAGGGAGGGGCGGAGGGAGGGATGGAGGGGGGGAAGGAGGGAAGGAGGGAAGGAGGGAGGGAAGGAGGGAGGATGGAGGGAGGGAGGGAGGAGGAGGAGGGGGAGGAGGAGGATGAGGAGGAAGAGGAGGAAGAGGAGAAGGAAAAGGAAGAGGAGGAGGAGGATGAGGAGGAGGAGGAGGAGGGAAAGGAGGAGGAGGAGGAGGATGAGGAGGAGGATAGGAGGAGGAGTAGGAGAGGGAGGAAAAGGAACATGAGGAGGAGAAGCAGGAAAAGGAGCAGGAGGAGGAGGAGGGGGAGGAGGAGGAGGAGGAGGAGGGAGGAGGGGGAGGAGGGGAGGAGGAGGAGGAGGAGGAGGAGGAGGAGGAAGAGGAGGGGGATGATGCTGATGATGAGGATGATGATGATGATGAGGAGGATGATGCTGATGATGATGCTGATGATGATGATGATGATGATGATGCTGATGCTGATGCTCAGGCTGATGCTGATGCTGATGCTGATGCTGATGCTGATGCTGCTGCTGCTGATGATGATGATGATGAGGAGGAGTGTGGTCACAGAGGTGAAAGAGGAAGAGGAGGAGGAGGAAGAGGAGTTGGAGGAGGAGGAGCAGGAGTTTGAATGAACCCTCCTTCCAAGCTCCCTCTTCATGGGCCCCTGCAACGGTTCATTTCCATCGATGGAGCTGCCTCGTTGGAAGACAACTGTTTGAAGATCCTGAGCGTGTCAAAACATTGTTCTTGGGATTTCAGCGCCACGTATCAACCTGATTGCTGCGTCTCCACGATCCGGAACCGTGCCAGAACGCGATTTTTTGGACTTCAACACCGCGAATCAACATAATTGTTGCGCCCGCATAATCCTGAATCCTTCACAACACCCGTGAAACTCGCGGCGCTAAGGCGAGAACCTGATTTCGACAAGGAACCGCCCTCAATCCGTGAAGCTCTTGCAAATTTATAAAACGAATGTGCGCGGCGCTAAGGCGAGGGCCACATTTCGAAAACGACCCGTCCTCAATCCGTGAAGCTTTTGAAAATTATTAAAACGAATGAATGTACGCGGCGCTAAGGCCAGAGTCACACTTTGAACTCGACCCGCCCTCCATCTGTGAAACTGTTGCCATTTAAGCTTCAGAGTCATACATGGTGAGCAAGTCTCAGGCGAAACGCCCGGCCTGCCCTAAAAACTGGCTTCGGGGTGCGACAGGGCGAAGTTGTCTATAAAGAGGCTGAATGGAGGAGGAGGAGGAACGGAGGATGAGGAGGAGGAGGAGGAGGAGGAGGAGGAGGAGGAGGAGGAGGAGAGAAGGAGGCGGAGGCGGAGGCGTAGGAGGAGGAGGGGGAGGAGGAGGAGGAGGAGGAGGAGGAGGGAGGAGGAGGAGGAGGAGGAGGAGGAGGAGGAGGAGGAGGAGGAGGAGGAGTGGTGACGGAGGGAAGAGGAAGGAGGAGGAGGGAGGAGGAGGAGGAGGAGGAGGAGGAGGAGGAGGAGGAGGAGGAGGAGGAGGAGGATGAGGAGGAGGAGGAGGAGGAGGAGGGAGGTGGAGAAGCTGCAGAGGGAGTGTGCGTTTTGGCAGCGCCGGTCTTGTCTGGAGGCGCTTCTGCGGGGTGGTTACCACAACCCGTGCACCGGGGAGCTCATACCGTATCCAGCTGGCCTTCCGGTCTCTCTCTCTCGGCCTTGGAGCATTGTGCTCGTGGTGCCGTGCCAGCGAGGATATGTAAGGGGGAGAAGGACAAGGGAAGAATGGGGGGAGGATGAGAGGGAGGAGGAGGAGGAGGAGGAAGAGGAGGAGGATGTGGAGCAGGAGGACATGGAAGAAGGAGGAAGAGGAGGAGGAGGAGGAGGAGCAGGAGCAGGAGCAGGAGGAGGAGGAGGAGGAGGAGGAGGAGGAGGAGGAGGAGGAGGAGAGGGAAGAAGAACAGGAGGAGTATTGAGGAGGAGTTGGATGGGGAGGAGGTGGAGGCGGCAGAAGAGAGGGGTGTGCCGATGAGTAGCGGCATCGAGGAGGTCTCGGGCTAATTCTCTTGGCGATGTCGCCCTTGGGCCTAAGCGCCGAGTGTGGTTGTGGTGGCTCTGGCCGAGCCGAGCGGATTACATCGGCACGCTCAAGAGCTACAGCATGCAGAAGGGGTTCGGCTTCCTGGAATGCGAGCAGTCCTTCATGGAGGAGCCTTCTCCTCGATTTGGCAGAGGGAGGAGGAGAAGATCGGAAGAGAAAGAGGAGCAGGGACGGAGGATCGTCAGAATGCAAAAGTTGCGAGGATTCTGAGCTCCTGCCGCGTGCTCCGCTCTTGCCAGAACGCGACAGTTGCGATGACTCTGAGCCTCTGGACATCCTCCTGCGTGTCGCGTCGTCTTGGCACGTCTCGCGGTGCGTCCCCATGGCACGTCCCCTGGCACGTTCCGTGGCACGTTCCGTGGCGCGTCCAGTGGTGCGTCCCCCTGGCACGTCGCGCGGCGCGTCCCCTGGCAGGTCCCGTGGCACGTCCACACGTTCCGTGGCGCGTCCTCTTGGCCCGTCCCGCAGTGCGTCCCCATGGTGCGTCCCCCTGGCAAGTCCTCTGTCGCATCCCTTGGGACGTTCCGCGGCGCGTCCCATGGCACGTCACAATGCGGCACGGCACAGCGCAGCGTAGCACAACACAGCCTCTGGCACAGTACCATCACCATCGATATCTTCAGCATTGCCACTGCCCATCGCCTAACTGAGGTCCTTTGAACGTTTCTTTCCATGCATCGTAGTTCTAAATCCCTTTCCGGGTTCGTGGGTCGATCATGTTTCGATTCGTGGATCTCGTTGCACGCTCTGTTGGGCTGTATGATCATACCTGCGCGCATTCTTACTACTCGCTGAAAGGATGCAGACAGTTCTTTTTTTTGATCGGTGCCCTCGTCTGAACGGAAGGCCCAATCCGCACAGGACTACATCTAGCCGTTGTTCAGCCGTGCGGACCCCCCACATTTTTGGTTGTTGTTCTTCCTATCACCATGCAGCAGTTTAGGACCGCTCCTCCTCAAGAAGGGACGCCGTCGGGCAACTGGGTGGCGCTTCTGGGGCTGTAATCTCTGCAGTCCCCCCCTCTTCGTTCTCCGTCTCCGCCTTCTCCTCTTCCTTTTACTCTCCCTCCTTCACCCCCTCTTAGATCTCATCCACACGTGGGTCGTTGGAAGTAGGTATTTTTTGATGCCCAAGTCCCAATTTACTTTAGGCGCGTGGTTGTCCTTCTTCCTTTTTCTTCAGCGTGCGGGCGGAAGCCCAATCTACATCCAACGCCTTCCTGCTTCATGTTTCTACCCACTTCTTCCGACCGACGGGTACCCCCCCCCGGGCGGCTCCTGGGCACTCTCGTGCCCCGGTAGTACGGCACGGACGTGTTCATCCACAAGAACTTGGTGCCCAACCCGTGGAACGTCGGTCAGCCGGGGCTCACGAAAGTACGGCACAGCTGATCTCTTTATGTCGGGGGTGGACAGAACCCCCAACAGTGACACGTCGATTAGTGAATTGTCCGTTTTCGGTTCTCGAGAGGGCGCCGTGGCCGTTATTTTCCAGGCTTGCGCCCGCCAGGTTTGGGCCTCAGGTCGTTTTCACTAAACCACGTTTTACTAAAGGGAGGTCTGTCCATCCCCGATCATGCCGCTTCGGCGCGGTAGCGACGCTTGCGTGAACGTTCAAGTTTGAGCGCCGTCTGGCGGCGAGTTTCGAGGAGGAGGAGGAGGAAATGGAGGAGGAGGAGGAGGAGGAGGCGGAGGAGGGGGATAAGCTAGGTGCGCTCGCGTCATGTCCGACGTCCTACCTCTCCCTCCCATCATCCCTTACCATGGCGTAGATGTCTTCTCTATTCGCTCAATCGGACGTCGTAGCATGGCATAGCATTACACGGCAAAACACGGTGTTGAAAATTAACGCGTAGCATGACATAGCATGGCGTGGCGACGCCCCAAAGTGTGGGGGAGCTTCTGCAGGCCAAACAAATCAACGAACCGACACCCAATATGTAAATTCTTCCGATGGTTTCTTCGAGAGGCCATTTTTTAAATTTAGGTGCTTACTTGATAGGCCCGAAAACCATGTCGTGACATGGCACTGGAAACAATGACGCCAGCGCTGCAACTGGAGCACGCTTCGGAACGAGCGAAAGCGCGGAAATGAGGCCAGCGCTGCAGCGGGAGCACGATTCGGAACGAGCGGTAGCCCAAAAATGAAGCCAGCGCTTCAGCGAGAGCAGCATTTTGAAAAAAGCGCGGAACTGAGGACGCGTAGCCTGACATAGCATGGCGTGGCGACGCCCCAAAGTGGGGGGGCTTCTGCGGGCCAAAATATCAACGAATCGACACCGAATGTTTTTTTTGTTGTTTTTGCATTTTGGGACTTAGGACTGAACGCCATGCCGTGGCATGGCACTGGAAACAATGACGCCAGCGCTACATCGGGAGCACGCTTCGGAACGAGCGAAAGCGCGGAAATGAGGCCAGCGCTGCAGCGGGAGCACGATTGGGCTCGGGCTGGTAGCCCGAAAATGAGGCCAGCGCTTCAGCTAGAGCAGCATTTTGAAACAATGCCTAATCGAAAACCAAATTCCAGTACGTGGATGGGGTGCTGGCCATTTCTCAGACGCCACCAGGGGAGAGAGGAGAGTAGTAGTATTCATATTGTTTAAGTGAGGAGGAGGAGGAGGAGGAGGAGGAGGAAGAGGAGGAGGAGGAGGAGGAGGAGGAGAGGAGGAGGAGGAGGAGGAGGAGGAGGAGGAGGAGGAGGAGGAGGAGGAGGAGGAGGAGGAGGAGGAGGAGGAGGAGGACGAGGAGGAGGAGGAGGAGGATGAAGAGGAGGAGGAGGAGGAGGACCGGATCGGATCGCGGCTGGCCGCGTCCCTGAGAGCGCGGCGGCGGGTCTGGCACTTTCCCGGCTCACGCCCGGGGCCTCCGCAGCAAGGATGCAACTCGCGCCGGCGGCGTGGGTCGGCTCCGGGGCCCAGAGCCTCTCGGAGGTGCGCGCCCGCGCAGGCCTGGCCGCCCTGGACGACCTGGAGGAGGCTGAGCAGCCCCTGGCGGCCGCCTGCCGGGCCGCGCGACTCCTGCTGCCGCTGCCGCAGCCCGGGGCCGGGCCGGGGGAGGGAGCGGGCCCCCTCCCCGCCTGGGCTGACCTCGCCCAACAACCTCGCACCAAGGTGCAGAAGGAGCCCACGCGGCGGCTGGACCAGCAAAGCCTTTTGGCCCTGCGGAGCTCCAGCATCAGCGAGGACCGGGCGAGGCTGGCTTCCTGCGGGGGGCCGTGCGCTGGGGGCTGGCAGCTGGCCTCGCCGGGCGCTGCGGGACAGCGCCTCAGCAACGCGGACGACTGCAGCACTGCCCGCGAGCTCCTCGGCCATGGGACCTCGCGCCGCCGGGAGCCTGCTGCGCCAGCCGGACGCGCGCCGGCCCGCGCGCCGGCCGCCTCTGGCGAGCCGCTCTGCAGCAAGGCTCGCCACGCCTTTCGATGTCCCTGCGGCGGCGGCGTCGAAGCCCGCAGCAGGGATGTCGAGGACGTGTGGGGGCGCATTCACACCGAGTGCGGCTTCCACGCGGCCCGCCAGGTTCCCGTTCCCGCGTGGGACCGGTGGGCGTGGCGCTGCGCCCCCTGCCACACGGCTGGCACGGCCTACGAGCAGCCGGGCCCCTGCGCCGCCTACGGCCAGCCGCTGGAGGCCCGTCGCGAGGAAGCTATCCTCGACCTCGAGGTGCAGCGCGCAGGCTGTCCGCGCGTCTTCGTCGACGTGACAGTCCGGTACGCTGTGCCCGGGGGCGCCGACGGGCTTGCCGCCGCGGCCCAGCGCGAGGGCGCGGTCGACGCAGCGGCCGAGGCAGACAAGCGGCGGCGGTTCCCCGAGGGCCGCAGCCCTTGGCCGCTGCTGCCGCTCGCCCTTGAAACGGGTGGCCGGCGCGGCAACGCGGCGCTGCGCCACCTCCGCCAGCTCGCGCAAGACCAAGCTGAGCTGGTGGACGAAGAGCGCGCCGCGGCGGTGGCCAGCGCCCTGGCCCAGCGCTGGGGCGCCGAGCTCAGCGTCGCCTTGCGCCGCGCAAAGGCGCGGCAGCTGCGGGCCTCCCTCGGAGGGGACCGCGCTGCCCGGGCCGCCGAGCTTCGCGCGGAGGCGGCCGGCTGAGCCGGCGCTGGGGCGGGGCTCCGGGAGCTGCTCTACCAGTTCGTTGCCTGTTCGGAGGCGTCCATCGTGTCGAGCTCGTCTACTGCGCGGCGACGGCCATCGCGGGTGGTTTTCCGACTTCTTTTCATGTTTGCAGGAGGAGGAGGAGGAAGATGAGGAGGAGGAGGAAGAGGAGGAGGGGGAGGCGGAGGAAAGGGAGCGGGAGCAGGAGGAGCAGGAGAGGAAAGCCCCCAGGAGGGCACCTCGGCGTGTGGGCGGCACGTCGGGGCTCCTGGGGGGAACTGAAATCCGCCAAGACGTCGCTTGCGCAGGGGCGGCGCGCCGGGTCAGGGGCGTTGGTGCCCTGGCGGGCCTGGGGTGGCCCCCCCGTATTCTAGCGGTGGTCCCGCTGTGGTACGGGTCTACCGCCTCAGGTCCCTCGGGGACCTGGCGTTGCGGGGCCGCGAGGGTAACCCCCTTGGGCCGGCGTGGATCTCAGTCCGCGTCGGCCCGCATGGATCTTGCCTGTATGGAGGCAGGCCCGAGCCACTGTATTGGCCCTCGCGTCGCGTCGCAGGGCAAGGGTGTGGCTGGGGGGGTCGGCCTGCGGGCGCGACTCGAAACGAGCACCGCCTGGCCCCCCTTGGGCAAGGGGGCCTGTGGGGGCGGGCCAGGTTACCCATGCGCAGACACACGCGCCGTGTGCCCCGCACGGCGACGTGGGGTAACGTGTGTCTCCTGGCGCTGGTAGAACCAGGGAGGCGTGGGTGCCGCCCGCCTTCGGCGGGTGGGTTGTGCTCATCGCGGTCTATGTGGTGAGCCTGGCGCCTCGTCTTTTTGTCCCTCTCGTCGTCATTCCTTTCCCCCTCCTTCGCCCCGCCAAGGGTGCCGCGGCCCCTGCAGCTCTTGGGGGCCGCGGGGCGCGGGGGTCCGCCCCGCCCCGTTGGCATGTGGCGCGGACCACAACTTCGCGTCGGACTGGGCCGAGGGGGAGCAGGAGAGAGCGGAGAAAGACCAGGAGACGGAAGGGGGGGGAAGAGGAGAGGAGGAGACGGGGGAAGAGCGAGGAGGAGGAGGAGGAGTCAGCGGGAGGAGCAGGAGAGGAGGAAGAGCAGCCCCGAACGCTCCCCTGCGACTGGGCCAGAGTCCCGGGGGCCCCCGGGCAGCCGCGCTCAGCGCGGAATGCGCGCCAAAATTGGGCATCGGCGGCCTCTGGGGGAGCTCCGACAGGGGGCGAGCCGTCCGCGCGGGAGGTCCAAAAGCGGGGGCCCGCGCCGTCCAGGTGCAGGGGCTTGTCGTGATGCACCGCCGTGACGGGGCCCGTTTTGATCCGATCGGTCCGCTTCGATGCCGTTGTGATTTGCTGGCCCGATCTGGTACGATTCCCCAGTTCCTGCGATCCGATGCGGGCCGACGTTTGCATGGCGTTGCCGTGAATGCTGGCACGACCGATCCGATTTCACTCCGACTCCATGCCGGTGCTGCCCGATTCGACGCACGTTTCGATCCCATCCGATTTCTCGATGCGACGCTGTCTGCTCCTGCCGCGAGCCCCCCCCGCATGCCCCGTTATGACTGATGTCTTTAAAAAGGGAACGCCTCACTTGGATAAGCGAGCGGGAGCAAAGCAGGAACGAGCGCATCCGCAGCTATTTATTGTTCAGCTGCCAGCATCCAGTGACTACTATGTGGGTGCGGGGCATCGTCATACCGTCACATCATTGCGAGCTTCAGTTGTGAGGCACCATTCCGACTTGCAAACGGAATTGGCTACACACATGTGCGGCTGGCCTTGTTGCTTTGAAACATGCTGCAATGGAGTTTGTGTCACACCGTAGTGCAAAACGCGCGTGGTTCTGAACCTGACCCTGCGGGGGTCGCGGACTACGACGCCTGAGGCCTGGCGACGGGCGCCCAGCACCGGGCCCCCCACGCCCATTCTTTTGACACCTGGCGACCAGCGCCTGGCAGCAGCTTCTAACCATCCATCATTTTGCATTGCCTGGCGCACGCGTTTGCCTTTTCAGGATGGATTGCCGATCAGCGTTTGCCTGTCTTCAGCACGCTTCTGATGAATTCCAACGGCATCTTTTGCGCATTCGTTTGGCAACGAGCTGTTTGCCCGCTCTAGTGAGCTACGCTGCAAGGTGAAGGAGGGGCAGTTGCTGGCCTGCCAGCGGCTACTCTCGGCGAAGACTGGCCTTCGCTCGCCTTTTGCGTGGTGGCGCAATGCACGCCTTGCTGATGCCATGTCTGATTGAGGAGGGGACGCGATGCTTTTCGTTTTCCCCTCCCCGACTTTGAAGGGATATGCCTGGCTGGATAATCGAGCGGGGGCAAAGCAGGAACGAGCGCATCCGCGGCCATGTATTGTTCAGTGGCCATCGTCAGGATATGATTCGTCAGCGTGGCTACTGTGTGAATAACTGGAAAATGCATCTATCGGTCCTTGCATCGTCACATCATGGCGAGCCTCAGTTGCGAGGCGCATTTTCGATTTGAGTTCCTGCAGTCGAGGACGAACAATGGCAGAAACTTCAGATTTCCGGAGGCTTCCGCGGAGGTCTTGGGTCGGGCGCAGAATTCCCTGGCCGCGCCTGTGGTGTCGCTCTCCCGGCGCGCTCTCCGCGAGGGAGAGAGCGATCCAGCGCCCGACCCAAGAAACCCGCGCGGCCCTCGGACAGTTTATGCTCGCGACGTTTGTCGCTCTTTTTCTGCAGAGCAGGCAGAGGCCCTTCGGCACTGTTTTGTTTTGGCCTCTTGAGAGTGTGGACGTTCCCTATTCAGGGGGAAAAGAAACACACAGACACAATTAATCGTCGACTCCCAGGAAAATATGCAAAAATATGGGAAGTGGGGGGGAAGACAAAAAACCCAAAAATATAGGAAAATATGGGGAATCTTTTTATTTGTGTGTATTTATTTGTGTGTCCTAATTTCCCTTTACCTAGGAGTGCGATGGCGACCAACGGCGGGGCAAGGGCCTCTGCGCATCGCTGGGTGGCGCGTCCGTCCGCCCCGCGCGGTCGGCCGTGGCAGCCGCTGGCCTAGACCGCGGAGCGGGTGGCCTGCCCCCAGCCGGGCCAGCCATGAATCAGCCCCCGCCAGAATCTGGGCCAAGTTGGTCGGGTCGGGCGAAAGGGGGGGATTGGGAAAGGGGGGGTTACGAAATCTGCTGCATGCAGCTGGTTTCGGCCTCGCCGAGGGGCCCATTCCTCGATACATGGCCGCTCCCGGCGCCGGGAGGCGCCGGGAAAATCAGCTGCGTGAGCTGATTCTCAAACCCCCCCTTTGCTATCCCCCCCTTTCGCCCGGCCCGAGTTGGGCTTGCTGTCGATGGAAGCTTGGTGGTGGTGGTGGCGGCGCTGGGTACCTACCCTCTCCTTGTTCCACGAGGCCGCCGGCGCCCAGTGTTTCGTGGGAAAAGGGCCGGCCGGCCCAGGTGTTCTTTCAGTCGGTAAGCCTGTCTCCTGGGCCCCATGCTGACCAGCGCCGGTGAATTTCCGCGCAATGAGGAACGAGGTAAAGACCCTGTGGGAGACATGCGTTTCGCGCGTGCCCGTTCGAGGAGACTGTGCCTCCCATTCCGGATCCGCGTTACCTACTGGTGTGCAGACCTCGCTCTTCTTTGAAAAAAAGAAGGTGCGGAGTGTTTTGCGCATGGTCTTCTTCAAATAGCCTGTTTCGGACAGCCTGGTTCGCTCGAGGATGGCTCGTCTTGCGCGCACGAATTTCGAGGATGTGGCGCGTCCTGCGCGCAGGAGTTTCGAGGATGTGGCGAGCGGGACGTTCGTTTTTGCAGAAGTTGAGGGGCTTGGGCGGTCCAGGATGCCCAAGTGGTTCTGGAAGTGCGGTCGCACCGTTATTTACAAGGGATCGTGGTCTTGGGAGCGCGGACGCCGTGTAATTGACGAGGGATCTTGGCCTTGGAAGAGCGGGCGCATCATGATTTACAAAAGATCGTGGCCCCGGGAGGTAATTTACAAGGGATCGTGGCCCTGGGGGGGCAGATGCCGTGTAATTCACGAGGGATCGTGGCCGTGGGAGCGCGGACTCGTCGAGGGATCATGGCCTTTGGGGGAGCAGGCGCTGTGTAATTTACAAGGGGTCGTGGCCTTGGGAGCGCGGGAGCAGCGTCATGTAGAAGGGATCGGGGCCTTTGGAGCGTGAATTCAGCGTACTGTACAAGGGATCGTGGCCCTGGCAGCGCGGGCGCAGCGCAATTCACGAGGGACCGTTGTCCAGGGAGCGTGGCTCCTGTGGAATTTACTAAGTAACGCGGCCCTGGGAGCGCAACTCCAGCGTAATTTACTAGGTGATCTAGCTCTGGGGGCGCGGTCGTAGCACAATTTACGAGGGATCGTGGCCCTCGGGCGCGTTCCCTGGCACGTTCCCTAGCGCCTCCCCTGGGCGCGTCGCGCGGCGTGTCCGTTGGCACGGCACGTCAGCTGGCACGTTCCGCAGCGCGCCCTCCTGGCACATAGCCCGGCGAGTCCCCTGCCCCTGGCACGTCTCTTGGCACGTTCCCTGGCACGTCCCGTGGCGCGTCCCCTGGCATGTCACTGCGCGGCGCGGCACAGCGCAGAGAAGCACGACATAGGCCCTGGCACAGTTCCGTGGCAGGTCAGCTGGCACGCTCCGTGGCGCGTCCCCCTGGCACGTTCCGTGGCGCGTCCCGTGGCGCGTCCCTTTGACACATTGCGCGGCGCGTCTCTCTGGCACGTCCACTGGCACGTCCACTGGCACGTCCACTGGCACGTTCCGTGGCGCGTCCCCTGGCACATCATGGTGCGGCGCGGCACAGCGCAGAGAAGCACAGCACAGTTTTATGGTGTGGTAGCATCACCATTGATATCTTGAGAATTGCCACTGCTCATCGCCCAACTGAGGTGCTGGGACCATTCCTGGGCCTTGCAGTTCTAAATCCTTTTACGGGTTCGTGGGTTGATCATGTTTTGTTGTCACGACACGCAGGCTCGACTCTTGGACAGATCCGTAAATTTTCGAAGACCTCCAAGAATGCCACCGAGTGCCTCCAGAGGCGTCCGAAGGCCTCAGAATACATTCCAAAGCATCCGAAGACGTCCGCAGACCTCCGAACGCCGTCGTCGTCGTCGTCGTCGTCGTCGACGTCGACGTCGACGTCGACGTCGACGTCGACGCCGTCGCCGTCGACGTCGCCGCCGTCGCCGCGGTTGCCGTCGTCGCCGTCGCCGTCGCCGTCGCCGCGGTCGCCGTCGCCGCGGTCGCCGTCGCCGCGGTCGCCGTCGCCGCGGCCGCTGCCGCCGTCGTCGTCGCCGTCGCTATCGCTTTCGCCGTCGCCGTCGTCGCCGCCGTCGTCGTCGTCGTCGTCGTCGTCGTCGTCGTCGTTGTCGACGTCGGCGCCGCCGGGCGGGGCGCCGAGCTCCGCGGGCGGTGCGGGGCGGGGCGGTCGGCGCGCGGCCCGCGGGCGGAAGGGGCGCGTGGCGGCGTCCTGCGCGCGCGCGCGCGCGGCGAGGCCAGCCGCTGGAGTTCGCGGTGATGGCGAACACCCGCGGGCAGCCGCAGGCGGGCCGCGCGCGCGGCGAGCAGGTTTTGGGCAGGCAGGAGGGGAGAGAACGCTCAGACACAGTTCATCGTCGCTTCCCCAGAAAGTATTCGGGGGCGGGAAAGAGGGGGGTGATGACTAGGGGGGGGGTGGATCTCATGGCGCGGGCCATGATATTTCCCCAGATTTCATGGCGCCTCTTCTTATTTCATTACGTCCCTGGCCCCCCCGCTGGGCCGCGCACATGCCGCCGGTCATGATTTGCACCCCCCCCTCTTGGACACCCCCCTCTTTGCAACTCCCGAAGTATGGGGAAATATGGGAAGTGGGGGGGGAGACAAAGACCAGGGGATATCTTTATTTGTGTGCATTTATTTAATCGCTTCGCTCATGCCGCCGGCCCTGGAGCCCTCTTTAGGGCCTCTTGGGGGCCTCTTGGGGACCTCTTGGGAGTCTCTTGGGGCTCCTTGGCGGCGTTTTGGAGGCCCCCAGGGCCCCCTGGGGGGCTCTTGGGGGTAGTCGATTGCGGCTTCCCCCTCGGAGGCCACGATCCTCGTGAGGGGTGTCGAAAAATGGCCCTCCCCTGGAGTGCTCTGGGGGCTTCTCCCGGGCTTCTCTCGGGACCTTGCCGGGGTACTTTTCGTCCGGGGGCCCCCAGGGGCCGCTCCGGGGGGGGAGACAAAGACCAGGGGATATCTTTATTTATGTGAATTTATTTGTGTGTCCCAGTTCCCCTTCCTTCAGGCAGGCCGGACGAGGAACGTGCTCCGATGCAGGTCTTTTGGTCCGTGCCGGGCCGACGCACCGTTCCTCCGCGGGGCTCTTCTGAGACAGGCGGACTGCCGCGATGGCGTGCGTGCGAGGGCATGGGCGCAGGCGGGGAGGCATCGCTGCAGGCGGGGCGCGCGCTCTCGAACGCGCCCGCGCCCGGGCCTCCTGGCCTGGGGGCTCTTTGGGCCCGGGCTTCCCAGCAGGGCTCCGAGCATGACAACATCTAGGAAAGAGCACGACGGACGGTTTTTGCTAGTTTTCGGCCTCGGGGGCCCGTTGCCAGGCCCCGGGACCATCGAGAAACCACTCAGGATGAAAAACCAGTCCCGTGGAATGGGTCGAAGGCTCTGAGGGTCGGCGTTGTGAAAAAATCATGACGCCCGGGTCTGGGATTCTAGGCCGCCCAGGTGGGGTCGGAGAGTGTGGGGTCGGAGGATCGCGCCGCATCGCCGATGCATCGCCGATGCGGCTCGATGAGGAGTCCAGTGTTCTTCACGCCGACGGTGTCGATGCATCGGCGATGCGGCACGATCCTCAGAGTCCACTTCGTCTGGGAGGCTTTTTTTAGGGCCATGCTGGCTGAGGAAGGAGGCACTCGAGGCCGTCTTGGAGACCATCTTGGGCCATACTGGCCGTCTCAGCGGTCCTCTTGGGACCGTGTTGGCTGTGAAAGCCAGTTGAGTGTGGCCCGCCAGGTTTTTTTCCGCGTTGCCAGCTGGATGAGCCGAGACCGCATCGGGAGCTTTTTGGAAGGGCCCACAAGTGCTGAACCCCAGCACGCCAAACGCTCCTTTGCAAGCAAAAGGAGGGCGGTGGATCGAAGCCGCCAGTGGCGAACCACTGCAGTCCCCTGCCCTCTGGAAACGCTGCTGTCCCCCAATTGGGCTTTGCCTCGGGGTCCTTACCTGTTCCCAGCCCTCGTGCTCTGGGTTCTCGTCTTGAGCAGAGCGCTGCGGTCTCCACGCCTGCTTCCCGCCTCCGTCCCGCCTCCCTCTCTCTCCCACATCCTGCCTCCTGCCTCTCTCCCTCCCTCTCTCCTCTCTCTCCCTCCCTCCTCTCTCTCCTTCCCTCTCTCCCTCCCTCTCTCCCTCCCTTCCTGCCTCCCACTCTCTCTCCTCTCTCTCCCTCCCTCTCTCTCCCACTTCCTGCCTCCTGTCCACCCTGCGTTCTACCTCTTCCTGCCTGGGGGTCCCTAGGGTCTGCGAACTGCGAAATCGTGGCCACTTTGGGCTCCAGGGATGCCCAGCGGAGTGACGTCATGCCCGTATTCGGACAGGATCTCGCCGTTTCTGGGGCTGCGAATTGCGAAACGGTGGCCACTTTGAAGGACTCCTGGGAGGCATGGCGGAGTGACGTCACACTCAGTTCAGACCAGGACTTCGCCCTCATTAGGGGCTGCGAACTGCGAAACTGCGGCCACGTTCGTGGGGTCCTGGGAGGCCCAGCGGAAGGACGTCATACCCAGATCAGGACAGGACATCGCCCTCCCTGGGGCCTGCGATCTACGTAGTTGTCGCCACTTTCATGGGCTCTTGGGAGGCCCAGCGGAGTGACGTCATACCCAGCTCAGGACGAGACCTCGTCATCCTTGGGGTGCTGCGAACTGCGAAACTGTGGCCACGTTCGTGGGGTCCTGGGAGGCCCAGCGGAAGGTCGCCATACCCGGATCAGAACGAGGCCTCGCCCTGCCTGGGGCCTGCGAACTGCTATGCAGTCGCCATGTTCGCAGGCTCCTGAGAGGTCCAGCGGCAGGACGTCACACCCAGATATAATAACGGGGCCTCGCCTTCCTCCCGGCCTCGCCATCCTTGCGGGGCTGCGAACTGCGAGCTGTGGCCACTTTCGCAGGCTCCTGGAGAGTCCCACGTTGCGCGGGACTGCGCAGAGCTGGACGAGACCTCGCCGTCCTTGCGGGCCGCGAATCGCGAAACTTGTTGCGCTCTCCCTTTCCCCCTCCTGCGCCCCTTGCCCTCTCCCCTGCCCCTCCTCCTGCACCTTGCCCTCTCCCTGCTCCTTGCCCTGCTCCTCTCCCTTCTCCTGCTTCTTGCCCTCTCCTGCTCATACGCCCCGTGCCCCTCTCCTCCACTCCCCTCGCCCCTCTCCCCTGCCCCTCTCCGTAGCCATTTTGGCTCAAGTCTCGGCTCGAGAGCTTTGCTCAGGGCGAGCGGCGACGCAAAACACCCAGCGCAGCTGTTCCCCCTCGCATGGCGAGACCGGGTCAGTGCCGCCCGTGCCCCGCTTCCACGCCGCCGCCCACGCTTTTTTGGCGTGGCGGCCCTGCGCGCAGCGACATGGCGTCGAAGGTCGGAAAAGAGCAAATCGCGCGCGCGCGTGTCTAAGCCGTCTAAGCCCGCCCGATCACTCAGTGACCGTGTATAGGGCCTGCCGCCGCCCACGCGCTTATGCAAGGGCTGCTCCTCCTCCTCCTCCTACTCCGTGGCCGGCCACGGGGGCGTTGTCTCCGCTGCTTTGTGCCCTGCCGCACAGGTCCCACAGTCCCACCTCCTCCTCTCCATCCCCGCTCTTCCCTCCTCCCCTCCCCCCCTCCTCCTCCTCCTCCTCCTCCTCCTCCTCCTCCTCCTCTTCCTCCTCCTCCTCCTCCTCCTCCTCCTCCTCCTCCTCCTCCTCCTCCTCCTCCTCCTCTGGCTCGCGGCTCCCTCAGCCACCAGCCTCCAAGTGCCCAGGTGCTGACGGCTTGCGAGTCCTCAAGGCGGAAGATTTGTCGCACCTAGGTCACACCATTGCTGCGTACGATTGCTCGGATGGCTCGTTTGTCGCCGTGTGCATTCGTTGCAAGCTGTATTCGACGGGTGGCAGAGTGCGAGGACTGCGTGAGCGCTGTCCCACGGAGCCCGTTAAGTTGTCTGATCACTCCATGCGCGGGCGCAGGCACTGTTGGAATCGTATTGTCAAGGGCTTCCATCCCAAGGAGGACGGCGTCACCCTGCAGTATGTGGACCTGACGGCCGAAGGCACACTGGATGCCTCCCCTCTCGTTGAGCCTCCTCCCGAGCCCCCCTCCTCCCAGGAGCAGGCCGAGAGCCCAGGTCAGGTGCTGCTCAGAGTAGCAGCCGAGTTGGCACGTTACCGCAACACCGCGGTGCGGCCTGCGCAGGCGATTGACGAGCCAGTGTTACAGTCGAGCTGCAGTGGCTGAGCGGCCACCAACGCCTTCTTGAAGGCACCCACGTCTGCAGCTGGAGCTGCGACTGGCGCCGTTCTCTCGTCCCCACATTGCGCTGAACCCACTTTATCAAAATCTTCTGTTGTCAGGATGTCGCGCAGTAGCGTGAATATCTCTAGTAGCAGCGGCATTTCCAGGCTCCCTGTCCAGTCCCCGTTGCCTGGAGCGGGGCATTCTAAAGCCAGGCAGCCTGTGCAGTCCCCTCTGCCTGTTGAGGGGCATTTACACCCTGACAGCCTCGAGACGGAGGACGAGATTTTTTTTTTTTTTTTTTTTTTTTTTTTTTTTTTTTTTTTTTTTTTTCTCTCTCTCTCTCTCTCTCTCTCTCTCTCTCTCTCTCTCTCTCTCTCTCTCTCTCTCTTCGGAACTTCCGAGGAGGAGGAGGAGGAGTTTGTCGTCAGGTCGTCGTCGGCGGATGGCGGAGGAGGTCCTTTACGCCAGGGGTAGATTGCTGTGTCGTCCTGGCCGCCTTTACGTTGCTTGTGTGCGCGCTTGCATGTGTGTCAGGCACCCCAGTTGTGGGGGAAGGTGCGCAGCACGTGTGTTATGTTCAAACTCTTCTGGGCCTGGCACGGGGGCAGTGTTCAGCCCCGACCGATGCCTTGTCCCACAGGTGTTTATGTCCCTGCCGCTTGAAGCCTTTGCACCTTGAGTTGGAGCGGGAAGCGGTGGGTCCTTTGATCGCTCCGCCCAGTTGGCACAGGCCGCATCTGGAGGGCCCACCATGGGTGTACTGGCTCTGGTGGCGAGGCGGGCCCACACCAGGGGCTGACCAGGGGCCGTCCAGGCGTCCGCCCACTTGGGTTAGGTACGCCTGGGGTTGCCTGGCTGTCGTCCTGGCGTCGCCCTGTTTTTGGTTTTGTTTGTTTGCGGCCCGATGTTCTCTACTCTCGTTCTTGGCGGTGCAGGTTACGCAGCCTGCCTTAGTACCCTAGCTTTGGGGTGCCGCCTTTTTCTCTTGGTGTGCTTGGTGTATGTGCGCGCGCGCGCGTGTGGCCCTGCACGTGTGTCAGGCACCCCGCCTCAGGGGGAAGGAGCGCCGCGCACTTCTCCTCCCTCCTTTCGGCGGTGCTGGTTACGCAGCCAGCCTCAGTACCCGAGCCTTGGGGTACCGTCGTGTTGGAGGGATTTCAGAGTACTCGTGCACGGGGGCGTACCCCACACCAGGGGCGCAGCTTGGCCGCCGTCCTGGCGTTTCATTACGCCAGGGGTTGGCCTGCTGCGTTGTCCCGGCGCCGCCCAGTTTTTCTGCTGTTGCGTGTCACTTGCGTCTCGTGCACGTGTGTCAGGCACCCCAGTTGTGGGGGAAGGTGCGCAGCACATGTGTTCGTTTTGGCTTCGGTTTGGCACGGCGGCCGCCTTCTTTTTAGAGGAAGACGGCGCCCGTCTGTACCTGCCGTTTGTGCAGCGTACGGTCGACTCCGACCGACTGGTGCTTTTTCAGCGCCTGACGGTTTCGGTTCGTCCTTTTTTTCTTTTTCGCGCCGCTCAGCTCAGCTGCCGCGGCTGCTGCTGTCGTGGTTCCGCCCGTCGCAGCGATGCGTGCTGGCCGTGTCCCGTGCCAGCCGTTGCGGCCGACCCTGACCTGTACAGGGGTCGTGCCGCTCATCGCACTTCCCTCCACCTGTGCAGTCGTGGAGGGTCCTGTGCTTCTCTGGCGTTGATGATTCAAAATCCTCCTCCTCCTCCTCCTCCTCCTCCTCCTCCTCCTCCTCCTCCTCCTCCTCCTCCTCCTCCCTCCTCCCCCCCTCCTCTTAACTCCTCCTCCTCCCCCTCCCCTCCTCTTCCGCACTTGCCGTGTCCCGCGCGTATAGTCTGTGCGCCCCCATGCCCGTCCGCCCCCCGGTCGACCCCCGATCGACCTGCGCCCGCCAGCGCCTTTCGCCCACCGCCGCCCGCGACGGCGACGGCAACGCCGGCGAGGGCCACAAACAGCTTCGGCGATGGAGGGCGCGGCAGCCACGGCGACGGCGAGGGCCGCGGGCCGCAGCGGCTGCGGCAGCGCGGCGAGCGGCCTTCTCCTCCCGGCCTGGGCTTTTGCGGTGGCGCATCTCGGTCGGGCCTGGCCCTGTCCTGCTCCATGTGCCTTGGCCCTCTCTGGACGGGCTCGGTGGGCCCTGCGGGCCCATGGCGCCTTGCTGCCCATCTCAGTAGCTGCCCACTCGTCGCCGTCGTCGCCGCCGTCGTTGTCGCCGTCATCGTCGCCGTCGTCGTCGCCGCCGTCGCCGTCGCCGTTCGTCGTCGCCGTCGCCGTCGTCTCCTCGGGCCTGGGCGCCGTGCCGTTCCGAGTGCGGGTGCCGCGTGCCGCCCTCGCAGCGCCATTTGCGCAGGCCATCGACGTCCAGTGGCTGCCGCTCCTCCCGAACGCCGCCAAGCGCCGCGCCAAGGTCCGGCGTTGCGTAATGGGGGGGGGCGACGACTGGGTGGGTGAAGGTGCACCTGTCGCGCGCGCACTGTCAGGGCCCCACCCAGAGATCCGACGTCGTGATTTTTTTCAATACGGGGTCCCTGGAAGTCTCGACCCATTCCAAGGACCGCTTTTTCATCCTGAGTCTTTTTTTAACGGTCCCGGGGCCTCACGAGGGCCCCTAGAGGCCCAAACTTGCGAACAAAAATCCGTCCTTGATTTCTTTGCAATGCGTTGGGACCTCTGGGCCTCGGGGCCTCTCGCGGCCCCGCAGGGGCGCGAGAGGTGCGCGCTCCCCCCTCCCCGTTTGTCGGCCACGCGCAGAGGGGGGTGGGGGGAGGGGGGAGGGCTTCTTAGAAGCGCCCCTGCTTTTCAGAAGCCGCGGGCCTTCTCTATGGATGTAGGGCCGGCGCCTTCTAAGAAGCAGCTTCCTTCCCAAGAAGCCCTCCCTCACCACCCACCAAACCACCCCAACCCAACCCGAAGGCTCAGATTTACCCTCGATTTCCAGTGGGGGGGGGTCGGGAAACATTGAAAAAACACGTGTGGAACCCTTACCCCCCCCCAACCCGAAATTCGGGTCTTCGGGTTGGGTTGGGGTGGTCTGGTAGGTAGTCACTCCCCCCTCCCTCCACCCCCTTGTGCGCACCGCCCCGTTTGTCGCCCCCCCCATTGAGCAGTGCCCCACCAGGGCAGAACCGCCGAGAGCACCGGGGGCACCGGGGACAGCGCGGGGTCCGCCCGGGACGCCGGGTTTGCCACGGCCGCCGCCTCGGGCCAGGGTTCCGTCGGGTCTATCCCTCGACAGGGGGAATATGCAAACATAGTCAACAAGATAGTCAGGGGATTATTTTGTTGATCATTTTTGGGCACCTTTGGAGTATTTTTGGATCTTTTTCTTTCTCGTCCAAAATCCCCCTGTAGGAGGACAGGCCCGGCCCAAGGCCAGGGCGCAGGATCGCTCCGCATCGCGTGGGGAGAGCGTCGGATCGAGGCAGAGGATGCGCGTCGGACCGGGCCGCATTTTGGCACGGAGTCGAGCTCGAGTCGGATCGGCCGCGCCAGAATGCACTATACAGTCTGCCCGGATGAGCAGGTCGACCCTGCCAGCTCAAGGGTACATTCGATGCTCGTTTCGGGGACCTTCCTGGAGCCCACCTAACGGATCTGTTCGACCTCAGTTCGACTCAAGTTCGACTCAAGTTCGACTCAAGTTCGACTCAGGTTCGACTCAGGTTCGACTCAGGTTCGACTCAGGGTCGACCCAAATCGACTGGCGTTCGACGCAGCTTCGACGCACGAGTGGAGCGAGTGGCTCCAGGAAGGTCCCCAGAACGAGCATCCAAGGTACCCTTGTGTGGTGTGCCTCGCGACACGTGCCTTCTTACACTCCTGTGGCGATGTGACCTTCGGAAGGGCCTCGTGTCCTCTCGCGTGCCCTCTCCAGTCGAGTCCGACTGTACAGCGCCATGAAGAAGGCGCTGGGCCGCACCGAATCGTCGGAAGCTCGGAATCGAATCGGATCGGGCCGGCCGGAATCGATGTCGAGTCGGATCGATCGGATCGAACTGATTCTTGGCCACGGGGGGGGGGCCGCTTCCTCTTCAGAGTGGCTCAGGGGCCGCTTTTTGGGGAAAACTCCAGGTTGTTGAATTACCGGGGGTGGGCCCAGGTGCTGTTTTGGCGATTTCGTGGGCCGTTTTCGCTTTGATGTCGTTTTGCAGCAGAAGCGAATTTGAGACACAGCGAGTGAACACGAGACCAAAAGGAGAAAACGAACAGCACCGTCGAGAGGTCGAGCCCTGTGGAAGAAGCACCCCCTCCCGTGCCCCCCCCCGGTCAGACGGCCCGTTCTGGCCCCCGCCCGCCCGCGGAGCCCACCCCCGTCAAGCGAGCCCCCCATCGCGCCGCGAAGGGCAGCCCACTCCCGCACCATCCGCACGCCCCCCCACGCTTAACTTTGAGTCGGGCCTGTCCCTCTACAGGGGAATTTTCAAACATGGTCACAAACTAGTCGGGGGACTACTTTTCCGTCATTTTTGCACTATTCTGAGCCCCCTGTGGCTCCCTGTAATTAGGGGGACACGCCCGACTTAAGCTTAACTATTGAGTAACTCGGCGGAGGCTTACTGAGCCCACGCCTACTGCTGCAAAAGGTCGCATGACGCAGAGGTCCGGAGACAGACCCCGCCCTCCCTCCCCCCGTTCTGCGCGGTGTCGAAACGCCGAATATATAAAAAACGCTCACTGGGGAGGGGGACGCATCGACCACCCGTCGCCCGCTCGTCGCCGAGGGCGGCCCGACAGCCCCGACCCGCCCAGGGGGGGCGCGGTTTCGTTGTCGGGGGCGTATGGCGGACTCAAGATCGATGTTCCCCCCTTGAGGCGGCCTCCCCCTCTATCGCTCCCCCTCAGTACTTCACCCTCCAAGGAGTGGCCGAAGCCGCGACGCCGCCTGCCGGATCCGCACCAGGACCTGCCGTCGCACGTCGCAGCAGCGCCCGCTGGAGCTGCGCCGTCGCGGCCCGCCCGCTCGGTCGCGAGGGCTGCGGCCCCCAATCGCTTCCGGGGGGCTTTCCCGGGACTTCTCTCAGGGGGCTCTCGGGAGATTCTTCGGGCCTCCGGACGGCCGCCCGCGAGTTTCGGGGGGCCCTTCGGGCTGCCATGCCAGAGCCTCCCGAGGTCAAGATCCTCCTGCTCCTGATCTCTGCGCCTGCCGCTGCCTGCCACTCCGCGCTCTTCTCACCAGGCGGCTCCCCTTTTTGTTGCTCCTCTCCTCGTCGTCGCTCTCGTCCTCCAGCTCCTCGTGCTGTACCTCCTGCTGCTGCTCCTGCCCTTGTTGAGGAGGGGGGAGGAGGGAATTCTGATTCTAATTCTATCTAAGACGGGGGTCCTGCTCTAGGCAGGCCGCTCAATCAACAATCAGCCTCGGTCGGGGAACGATGTGCCAGACTTAGGTGGCAGTCCTCTCTGAAGGCGTGACAGCACCTCTCGCCCCGCTTTCGAGGCTTCGCCGCAAACTCCTTTCAGTATGCGGGGAGGCGCGATAGAACAGTGTTCTCCACAGATCGTGCAAAAAAGGATACCCTCAGGACCGACAGTCGGTGGGAGCGGTGGCAGCGGTCGGCCAGGGGGTGGTCCAGGGCACCCCCACACAGATCCGACGGCCCCAGGGCGTCAGGGACAGGGTCAGGACCAGGCTCACCCCTCTCCACCCGCGGCCCCAGCAGCTGGACGCGCTGCTGGATGATACATCTGGGCTTGCACGACATGGGCCAGAAACCAGCGAGCTGTCCCTTGAGGTCAATTATAGCTGAGCCCACATCGCCTGCACTTGATGCAGGCCCTCTGCACATCAGGGTCGTGCCCTGCATCTCGCAATCTACAAATTCGCTCGGACAGGGAGGTCATCATTCCACGAGTTCGCTGCGGCTCGCGGAGACCACTCCTCTGTCGATCCGAGGAGAAAAAACTTCACGCTGAATGGTCAACATGCTTTTCAAAACTTGCACAGCGAGCCCAGCGGCCCTCAAATCTGATGAACGTGGGCTTCACTCAACTGGGCCTTCTCTGCGGCCCAGTCGGCGAAACGATCAGCAGCTTTGTTAAGACAAATCTCAACATCAGACAACAACATGCTTTCGGCCTGGGCTTGGGTAGGGTGTCCCTTGGTCCAGATCAGTTGGAGTGAGCCCCCTCGTTCAGACAGTACACGGTGAAATTCAGCCCAGAGGTCCAACATACTCGATTTACGTTGAGCTCGGAGGCTCTTCCTGACACTCTTCACGACACGCAGACAGTCACAATATACTCGCACGTCGCCAACACTAGCGCGCACGAGCTCGATGAGTGCAACTAACTCGGCTCTCGGAGATGATTGACGCGCGCTCGGCAGAGACCCACACCTGGTAGCATCGATCCTGCCGTCAGGTCCGAGGTGAACGAACGACCAGGCACATCTCTTGAGCCTCCAGTCTCTAGAAAACTTGCCCCCTGACCCATCTATCCCCCACACGCCCCCTCGAATAAGCTCCCCCCCGATGCATCTCCCCCAATCCCACACAAGGCGCAGGGGAGGGGGGAGGTGGCCCAAGGAGTCGCCCAACGACGGAAGACCACGGCACCAGAAACTCACTTTTATCGTTTTCAGCGATGGCCCTGGGGGCAAGGGGGTCGGTCACCTCAATAGTATGATCAGGGATATCTCGATTGCGCTCACACTGCCAATATCTATGCAGCGGGGTCTCAGGGGCAACTCCACACCTGCCGCAAAGCCCTCGGCTGGCAGAGACATAACCAGCGGTGTACAATCGATCCTCGGGCCAAGATCCCGCGATAACAGCAGTTCGCAGGATCCCAGCAGACTCATGCTCACCGTCACGCGAGAGCTTGGCAAGGAACCTGCGCACAGGAGTAACATCAATTCCTCTTTCGAGGCCAGCACCACAAAAGTGCTTCGATGCCTGGCCCCAGGACAAGGAGGAACAGGTCTTCAACAGAGAAACCCAGAGCTGAAATGGAAAATCTCCTTCATGTAACCTCAAGTCAGAATCCTCCGTACGCCAGTACACTGGTGACAAAGCCTGCCAGCCTAGATCACGAAGCACAGCAATGGTCGGCGACATCGGCCCCTTAACAATCTGCCAGCGGTGCATGGCACCCCCAAATCTTGAATCCTTCCGAAACATCATTTCTGGTTCGTTGATCATGGGAATCCGTGAAACTATTGCAGATTTTAAAAACGAATGTGCGCGGCGCTAAGGCGAGAGCCACATTTTGAAAAGGAACCGCCCTCAATCCGTGAAACTCTTGCTATTCTTTGAAACGAATGTGCGCGGCGCTAAACGCGAGAGCCACATTTTGAAAAGGAACCGCCCTCACTCCGTGAAACCCGCGCACATTTTTAAAACGAAAGTGCGCGGCGCTAAGGCGAGAACTACATTTTGAAAAGAAATCGCCCTCAATCCGTGAAACTCTTGCTATTTCTTGAAACGAATGTGCGCGGGCGCGGCGCTAATGCGAGAACCACATTTTGAAAAGGAACCGCCCTCAATCCGTGAATCTCTTGCGAATTTTGGAAGACGAATGTGCGCGGCGCTAAGGCGAGAGCTACATTTTGAAAACGACCCACCCTCAATCCGTGGAATTGTTGTCACGTTTTAAGCTTCAGAGTCGGAAATTGTGAGGAAGTCTCAGGCGAAACGCCCGGCCCGCCCTAAAAAACTGGCCTCGGGTGCGACAGGGAGAAGGCATCTATAAGGAAAAGGAATGGAGGAGGAGCAGGAGGAGCAGGAGGAGGAGGATATGGAGGAGGAGGAGGAAGAGGATGATGATGATGCTGATGATGATGATGATGATGATGATGATGAGGAGGAGGAGGAGGAGGAGGAGGAGGAGGAGGGCAGGGGATGAAGTGGGGGAGGAGGAGGAGGAGGAGGAGGAGGAGGAGGAGGAGAAGAGGGGTGAGGGGGGAGGAGGGAGGAGGGAGGAGGGAGGAGGAAGTAGGGAGGGAGGAGTGAGGAGAGAGGAGTGAGGAGGAGGAGGAGGAAGGAGGAGGGAGCAGGTAGGAGAAGGAGGGGGAGGCGGAGGATGAGGAGGAGGAGGAGGCGGAGTAGGAGGAGGAGGGGGAGGAGGATCATGAGAATGATGCTGGCGCTAATGCTGATGCTGATGCTGATGATGATAACGATAATGACCACGATTATGCTGCTGCTGATGAGGAGGATTATGATGATGATGATGATGATGATGATGATGATGATG